CATCTGCTCCCACTCCCTAAATTGAATAGGTCTTCTTATGTTTTCGGCCCATTTTATCATACATGTTTTCACTTGCTCGCACTCCGTTAGCCAGGTTAATAGTGTATTATAAATAATTGAAATTACTTTCTTATTCGTCTTTAATATTTTGTCCCAAGTTGACTCTAACTTGACTGAGATAGGAGAAGCAGGTTATTTGCGGAAGAGAGCTCATTAAAACGGGGGTTGTGGAATCAAGCTTTCTCACAAAAGGGGAAGACTTCCCACACAGCATCCCCAGAACCACAACCTCTGAGGATGCTTGCCATAGATGCAGGCGAAATGTCAGGAGAGAATGCTTCTAGAACATGGCCATATAGCCCGAAAAACCTACAACAACCCAGTGTAATTGTTGCTCTCCTGTTTTTCTGCTTTCTTCCGGAGCTCCTTTTTTATACCCATCCTTTCCAAGAGCACCAGTCTCCAAATGGTGCACGGTGTGTATAACCGCCATTGCCTGGTCTTGCATTTTCTTTGTGGCTCTTCCGTTTCTTCCTCCCATTCCCTCATATGCCTTTGTCCCTTCTCTTTGTCAAACCACGGTTATCGATATGCCCGTAGAGTTTGATTTGCAGAGTGCGGAAGATTGTTGGCCCTTATCCTCCTAAGGATGTAACAGCCCTTGTGTCCTTGAACTCGAGTCTTTCATAGCAGTTCTCCCCACCACATTGGAAATCAAACCCTCTCCCCTTGAGAAATCATCTTACAATCATAGAATCCTAGAGTTGGAAGAGACCTCCTGGGCCATCCAGTCCAACCCCATTCTGCCAAGAAGCAGGAATATTGCATTCAAAGCACCCCTGACAGATGGCCATCCAGCCTCTGTTTAAAAGCTTCCAAAGAAGGAGCCTCCACCACACTCAGGGCAGAGAGTTCCACTGCTGAACGGCTCTCACAGTCAGGAAGTTCTTCCTCATGTTCAGATGGAATCTCCTCTCTTGTAGTTTGAAGCCATTGTTCCCTTGCGTCCTAGTCTCCAGGAAGCAGAAAACAAGCTTGCTCCCTCCTCCCTGTGGCTTCATCTCACATATTTATACATGGCTATCATATCTCCTCTCAGCCTTCTCTTCTTCAGGCTAAACATGCCCAGCTCCTTAAGCCGCTCCTCATAGGGCTTGTTCTCCAGACCCTTGATCATTTTAGTCGCCCTCCTCTGCACACATTCCAGCTTGTCAATATCTCTTGAATTGTGGTACCCAGAATTGGACACAATATTCCAGGTGTGGTCTAACCAAGCAGAATAGAGGGGTAGCATGACTTCCCTAGATCCAGCAGCTTGTGGTTACAACTCACTACTTGCAATACCAGAAAGCTTCCACAAACAGCAGCTAACCCAGTTTGTTTTATCCACCAGGCTTGGTAACACACCCATCTAATGCATTGCAGCTACTCCATTATAGTTACAAAGATTCTGATCCTTATTATTACTTAGGAAAAGTCTGTAGTTTGTTCCGAGTATCAGCACTCTTTTCTTCATATTGTCAAAGGCTCTCATGTCTGGAATCACTGGGTTGTTGTAGGTTTTTTCAGGCTATTTCGCCTGCATCTATGGCAAGCATCCTCAGAACTAGTGACCTCACTACCTCTGAGGATGCTTGCCATAGATGCAGGCGAAACATCAGGAGAGAATGCCTCTAGAACATGGCCATATAGCCCAAAAAAACCTAAAACAACCCACTCTTTTCTTCCTTTCATTCCCTCATTTGCCTTCCTCTCTCTTCTCTTTCCTCTATTCCAGCGTTTCTCAACCTGGGGGTGGCGAGGGGGTATCAGAGGGGTCGCCAAGAACTATCAGAAAACACAGTACTTTCTATTGGTTATGAGGGTCCTGTGTGGAAAGTTTGGCCCAATTCTATTGTTGGTGGTGCTCAGGATGCTCTTTGGTTGTAGGTGAGCTATAAATCCCAGGAATTACAACTCCCAAATGTCAAGGTCTGTTTTCTCCAAACTTCACCACATTTCGGCATTTTGAGTATTTGTGCTAAGTTTGGTCCAGATCCATCATTGCTTGAGTCCACAGTGCTCTCTGAATGTAGGTGAACTGCAACTCCAAAACCCAAGGTCAATGCTCATCAAACCCTTCCAGTATTTTCTGTTGGTCATGGGAGTTCTGTGTGCCAAGTTTGGATCAATTCCATCGTTCATGGAGTTCATAATGCTCTTTGATAGTAGGTTAATTCTAAATCCCAGCAACTACAACTCCCAAATGACAAAATCAATCTCCTCTCCAACCCCACCAGTATTCAAATTTGGACGTATTGGGGGTATTTGTGCCAAATTGGGTCCAGTGAATGAAAATACATCCTGCATATCAAATATTTACATGACAATTTGTAACAGTAGCAAAATTGCAGTTATGAAGTATCAACAAAATTGATGTTATGGTTGGGGGTCACCACAACATAGAATCATAGAATCCTAGAGTTGGAAGAGACCTCCTGGGCCATCCAGTCCAACCCCATTCTGCCAAGAAGCAGGAATATTGCATTCAAATCACCCCTGACAGATGGCCATCCAGCCTCTGCTTAAAAGCTTCCATGAGGAACTGTATTAAAGGGTTGTGGCATTGGGAGGGTTGAGAACCACTACTCTATTCCTTTGTCTTACCTCGTTTTTCATTCTTCCCTTTCCTTTTTCCCTTTCCTTCTTTCTTCATCCAGCCTTTCCTTGGAAGTCATGCTCTCGACCTCAGAGATGGATTGCACACACACAATATAAATTTTATTTAATTGCTTACTTCTTTATGGAGTGGATGTCCAAATTGTGGCTTCATGTCGTAGGCTTTTTGGTTGCCTTCCAAGAGCTATTCCTTTCTATTTGCATACTGTATTGTCGAAGGCTTTCATGGCTGGAATCACTAAGTTCTTGTGGGTTTTTTCGGGCTATATGGCCATGTTCTAGAGGCATTTCTCCTGACGTTTCGCCTGCATCTATGGCAAGCATCCTCAGTATATTTGTATACTGCCTGCTTGTGGTTGCATTTGAGCATTACATACAGACATACCTATAAACGAGTTCCCTCATCTCTCTTTGAAAAACTCTATCCCAGTTATATCCTACCTTGTTCGTGCCCAGCATTATTTTTTAAATTTTTAAATTATTATATTTGGCCCGGCCATAGATTTTTAAATGCTTGCGTGTTACTGTTATTGTTTATTTTTTGTTGATGTGATTAATATTAATTGTTATGTATTGATTTTTTGCCTATGTTTACTGATGTACTGTGGGCTTGGCCTCATGTAAGCCGCACCGAGTCCCTTGGGGAGATGGTGGCGGGGTATAAATAAAGTTATTATTATTATTATTATTAAGCTTCAGTTTTTCTAATTTATTATTATTATTATTATTATTATTATTATTATTATTAACTTTATTTGTACCCCGCTAACATCTCCCGAAGGACTCGGTGCGGCTTACAAAGGCCAAGGCCCTCAATAAAACAACAGCATAACAAATACAACAATAAAACTATTTTCTTTTTATATTACATTTTAAATGTTGAATTGTTTTTATAATTGTTTTAACTGTATTTTGATATTTGTTATGGCATCGAATTCCTGCAGACTGTGAACTAGTCCAACGGGCAGCAGCCAGATTGCTCACTGGAGTGCCATACAAGGGAGCACACCACTCCCGTTATGTCAGCTCCACTGGCTGCCGGTCCACCTCCGAACACAATTCAAAGTGCTGGTCTTGGCCTATAAAGCCCTACACGGCTCCGGCCCAGCTTACTTGTCCGAACGTATCTCCCTCTACGTTCCACCTCGTAATTTAAGATCTACTGGGGAGGCCCTCTCTCGGTCCCACCGGCTTCGCAAATGCGTCTGGTGGGGATGAGGGACATGACCTGCTCAGTGGTGGCCCCCCGCTGGTGGAATTCGCTCCCCAGCGAGATTAGATCGGCGTCCCCCTTCATTTCTTTTAGGAAAGAAACTAAAATTGTTGTTTTGGAGCCAGGCCTTTAGCTAGTGAGCACATCAGCACTTTAGACACTGAACCCAGACCACAGGACTGTTGCGACAATTGGAAAGGGCTATGTGACTTGTGATTTTAATTCATGTTACTGTTTTTAAGTTTGCTATGTATGATGATTTTATATTCTGTTACTGATATTGTGGCATCGAATTGCTGCCTGTGTTAGCCGCCCTGAGTCCCTCCTCGGGAGTGAGAAGGGCGGGGTACAGAAATGGTGTAATAAATAAATAAATAAACAAACTGCCTTGAGTTGCCTCTGGCAGAGAAAGGTGGCATACAAATGCGGCAAATAAATAAATAAACCCTTTCTAAATTCTGCAATCTTTCACTTTTTAGGTTCCTTGCCCCAAAACAGTGGATTTTGTAGTTGAAATCCCGCCAATTATTTTATATTGTGAAATTTATTTATTTATTATTTGAACTTATATGCCGCCACTCCCCTGGGGCTCGGAGCGGCTTACAGGAATAGCTAAAATCTAACAAAATTTAAAAGCAATTTAAAACAATTTAAAAACAGCGATATCAAACATTAAAAGCCTGTCAAAACAGGTATGTCTTACATGCCCTGCGGCTGCCGTAAGATTGGGGTTATGTGGCATCTCATCGGAATTCCCGCAAGAAGCCGAGCAGCTGCATTTTGTACCAACTTGAGCTTCCGGATCACCGACAGAGGAAGGCCAATGTAGAGGGCGTTACAGTAGTCCAGTCTGGAGATGACCACCGTAGCTAGGTCGTCCCTGGACAGGGAGGGGGCCAGCCGTCTAGCCTGCCGCAGATGAAAAAAGGCGGTATAAAGGCTCTTGTGTGCCAGATTTGGTCAGAGATACATCAACTCATGGGAGGACCCTTTGCTGTACTAAGACATCCACGTACTTTTGACATTATTATATAGAGAGAAGATAGGATTCTTCCCAGTTGCACTGACTTTTCCATCAGCTTCAGAGCTCCTTGGCTTGGGTCTAACCATGGTTTATTTTCCTTTTCAGATGACCGGGATGGCGGACATTATTCAACTCTTGGGAGATAAACAAAAACCCCTTTTTGGTCCCTTTGGCTTGAAAACCCTTGGACGTGCTTCCATTTCCCAGACCCGTGCAATAACTAACGGCTGCATGCTGAAGTCACCTTGGGATGTGTTGCCATTCAAGGGCAGCAGAGAAGCGGTCTTCCCATTCAGCCACCATGTGGACTCTCACTTTCTTGGAACTGCTACTAGTTGGTCTTGGACTAGAAGAATGCATTTACCTGTGTCGACTGCTACATAGAACTTAACCATAGGAAAACAAAGCCTGTTTACTTGAAGGTTTAGCAATCAATCAGTCCCGAAACGACTGGAAACTTCCTTCCCCTGAGCAGACTTCCGCCAAGATACCTCCGCAGTGGACTGACCAGTGTACTTGAATGACATGAATATTATTTCCCCCACCCTTTTTTGGTTTTGCTGAAACATAAAATTAATTAACTAACTGATCAGTAGCACTATATCTCCCCCAGCCCTTGGTAGGCAGCGTGATGGTGGCAGACCCTTGGTAGCAGACAAAGGCACTCCAGGCTGGCGCCTTCTCTAAAGTATTTACATGAGCTAATAATAAACCTTTTCAGATACGTCAGGTATCTTCTTTAGAGAATCCCTTTTTGTAACCCACCTTTATAAATAAACTGGCTAAAAGGTTTCTAGCCTGATTCAATGCCAATATGGGTGACTTTTTAAAAAATGGGCCAAATGAGAAAATAATGGAGGGAGGGATGGAGGGAGGTATAACAGGTGAAGGTTTCACCTTGACATTAAGTCTAATTGTGTCTGACTCTGTGGAGTGGTGCTCATCTCAATTTCTAAACCGAAGAGCCAGCGTTCTCCGTAGACACCTCCAAGGTCATGTGGCTGGCATGACTGCATGGAGTGTTGTTGCCTTCCCAACGGAGCGGTACCTATTGATCTCACATTTGCATGTTTTTGGTTTTTCTTTCCATGTCAAGAGTAATTTGAGAAACTGCAAGTCGCTTCTGGTGTGAGAGAATTTGCCATCTGCAAGGACATTGCCCAGGGGATGCCTGGATGTTTTGATGTTTTACCATCCATATAGGAGGCTTCTCTCATGTCCCCTACATGGGGAGCTGGAGCTAACAGGGAGGGCTGGAGCTAACATGGGGAGCTGGAGCTAACATCTGCACTCTCCCTGGATTTGTACCTTTGACCTGTCGGTCTTCAGTCCTGCTGGCAGAACGGTTTAACCCATTGTGCCACTGGGGGCTCCTATTGTCATCAACTCCGCTGGACTGTCCGAATGCCCTATCACTGTCTCCCAAAGCAGTTGCTCTACTCCGAACTTAAGAACCGGAAATGTAACATTGGTGGACAAGAAAAAAGATTTAAAGATGTGCTTAAAGCCAACCTTAAAAACTCTGGCATAGACACTGAGAACTGGGAAGCCCTGGTCCTCGAGTGCTCTAACTGGAGGTCAGCTATGACCAGCAGTGCTGCAAAATTTGAAGAGGCACGAATGGAGGTCAAAAAGGAGAAATGTGCCAAGAGGAAGGCGCATCAAGCCAACCCTGACTGGGACCGCCTTCCACCTGGAAACCGATGTCCTCACTACCGGAGAACATATGGGTCAAGAATGGGGCTCAAAAGACAGTGGATTCCCAAAATCACAAACCCAAATCCACTACAAGCTGTAGTACATAAATCACAAAGGGAAATGTTCATCATATTTTTTCCACCTGAGGAAGACTTAAGACAGTCGAAATTGGTCTCGAAATCCCCTACGACACGTGAATATCCTCTTACAAGGGACTGAAAGCTCCACTCAGTAGTATCTTTACAGAAAGTAAGGGATCTTACGCCCTTAGAAGTCTGCTGTACAGCAAGAATCTACTTTTGTGACTGGTATAAAAAAAATCACTGTATAAATAAGTTTTTTGTTTTAATGAATATCGCTCAATGCTGTATTATGTAAGTTGGATATACGTTTGATATTGTATTATATAAGCTGCAAAAAAAATACCTTTGTTATTTGTGGTGGATTTGGTGGCTGTGGAGCCCTATTCTTGCTTCATCCTGGTTTTGTGAAAAAGCTGCAGTACGTTGTGCCCCTTCTTTGTTCAGAAGCCCAAAATACAAGCTGGGAAGAGAGCATGGATGATGACCTTCCATCTTGACCCTATTTGTCAAGAATAGGGCTCCACAGCCACCTATGAACTCACCACCAAGTCACTAGACTTGGAGGACCATCATTCTTGGGACATCCATAGGGGTACCAAGGTGCTTGTTTATAAAGCTATTGTCCTCCCAACCTTGCGAGACGTGGACTGTCTACAGTCGTCACATGCAACTCCTGGAACGATTCCATCAGCGCTGCCTCTGGAAAATCCTGCAAATCTCTTGGGAAGACAGGCGGACAAACGTCAGTGTGCTGGAAGAAGCAAATACCACCAGCATTGAAGCGATGGTCCTCCACCACCAACTCCGCTGGACCGGCCATGTTGTCCAGATGCCCGACCACCGTCTCCCAAACCAGTTGCTCTACTCCGAACTCAAGAACAGAAAACGGAATGGGTTGTTGTAGTTTTTTTCGGGCTGTATGGCCATGTTATAGAGGCATTCTCTCCTGACATTCTCAATCTTGCAGCGAAGCCCACCTCCTCCAAGATGAACTGAACCACCTCAACTGGGCTCTCCAGGCCAATAGAGACTCCACCTCAGACATCAGAAGAGCTGCAAGACCAAGAACAAGCCGAAGATCCACCCAGAAGAAAAGTGTTCTTGCCATACATCAAGGGAACCACTGACCGCAGAGGGAAGCTGATGAGGAAACACAACCTACAAACTATCTACAGACCCACCAAGGTAATCCAACAAATGCTACATTCAGCAAAGGACAAGAGGGATCCTCTCACTTCTGCAGGAGTCTACCGTATACCATGCAGCTGTGGACAAGTCTACAGAGGGACCACCAAACGCAGCACCAAGACCCAGACACGAATCAAGGAACATGAAAGGCACTGCAGACTACTTCATAGCAGAGCACCTGATGAACCAACCTGGACACAGCATAGTATTTGAGAACACAGAAATACTGGACCATTCTAACAACCACCATGTCAGACTACACAGAGAAGCCATTGAAATCCACAAGCATGTGGACAATTTCAACAGAAAGGAGGAAACCATGAAAATGAACAAAATCTGGCTACCAGTATTAAAAAACTCTAAAATTACAACTGCAAAACAACAGAGTGAAAACAATCAGGCACATCTAATCACCTCTCAACAAAACATTGCTCCAGGCACTGCCAGGCCATCAAATGCTAATCAAGGTGGTCAGTTGAAACATTCACACCTAACTCCAGCAGACAAGAGTCCTTTGTCCCACCCTGGTCATTCCACAGATATATAAACCATTTTTCCTACTTCCAACAGACCTCACTACCTCTGAGGTAGTGCCATAGATGCAGGCGAAACGTCAGGAGAGAATGCCTCTAGAACATGGCCATACAGCCCGAAAAAACCTACAACAACCCAGTGATTCTGGCCATGAAAGCCTTCGACAATACAGAAAACGCAATGTTGGTGGACAGGAAAAAAAATTTAAAGATGGGCTCAAAGCCAACATTAAAAACTCTGGCATAACCTAAGTAAATCCACTGGATTGAAAAGGCAAACCACAGTATGGCAGTGAGAGGACGTACTATGGATGATGTCCTGTTGGAAGTAAACATGCAGGTTTTGTCTTGGATCAGAGAAATCACTGGATAAGAACTCTCTTACTTGCTAATCTGCAGATTTCACTTCATGTGAGTGGTTGATAACACCTTTTATAGGGATAAAATGTTTCCATCAACACAAAAGTAATGCCTCACTCAAAAAACCAAAACCCCAAACAAAACCAAAAACACACAACTCCAACCCTGGGCATCTTATGTAATTCCATTGTAGAATGTTTTGTCCTATATGTATATTGAAAGAAATAAACTTTGATTTTAGCAAAAAAAACAAAACAAACAAAACTCTGGCATAGACACAGAACTGGGAAGTCCCGGCCCTTGAACGCTCCAGCTGGAGGTGAGCTGTGACCAGCAGTGTTGCAGAATTTGAAGTGGCACAAATGAAGGGTGAAAGAGAGAAACGTGCCAAGAGGAAGGTGCGTCAAGCCAACCCCGACTGGGACCATCTTCCACCTGGAAACCAATGCCCTCACTGCAGAAGAACACGCAGGACAAGAATAGGGCTCCACAGTCACCTATGGACCCACTGACAGAACACCGACCTTGGAGGACCATCATCCTCGGACTACGAGGGATTTCCTAAGTCATACAAGCTGCAAAAGAAATTTACCTTTGTGATTTATGTACTACGACTTGTAGTGGATTTGGGTTTGTTGTCAGAATAGGGCTCTACAGCCACCTACGAACTCACCACCAAAACACAAGACTTGGAGGACCATCATTCTCGGGCTATGAGGGATCGCCTAAGTAAGTGTCTTCCACAACTCTAAACTCACAGGCTCCACTTGAAAGCTGAACAAAAAGTCAGTTGTGGCCGTCAATGCCCCTCAGTTGTGGGAGGCCTACAGCTACGTGAGTGTAATGGGTGGGCCAAGAGTGAATCAGACCACAGCATGGGACTCGGTTTCCAGAAGTTGGCTTTACTGGGCAGTACAGAAGTCATCCGGAGCTCTTTCTTTTCCCCCCGAAAACCCAGGCTCCGTCAAATCGCTTACTGCAGTGCAGCTTGGTCCACACCTGAGAAACAACCAGACCGGGGAGAAGGGGGTGGGATACAGAAGAGAAAGGAAATGTGGAGGAGAGAACACAATATACACACACACACACATGCTTTGCCTTGCTTTGGAGTTTTCATTCTTCCACCAAGTTTTTTGTTTTGTTTTTATTATTATTAGTAATAATAATAATGATCGCGTTTAAAACACAAAAAAAGCCTGAGCGGCCGAGTTGTGTCCCAACAGATGTAAACGGTTTTCGTTTAGGTTTCGAGAAGGCTTTTGAGTCGAGAAGCTTTGAGGAAAGAGGAGGGGAGAAAAAGAGGAGAGCACTGGGTTGAGACCCTGCCAAAGTGGAGACAGGGTTGCGGTGGGCTTTGGCCATGATCCAGCTTGCCGTGGAATTAGGACTAGAGGGGAAGAGGCCGTTTTAGGGAGATCCCCCCAAAATACCCATTGCTTTGGCTGAAACACAAACCCAAGAGGAGGCTGTGACGTTTCAGACGAGCCTTTAACCCGAACCGGATTTTAATTCCTTTTGATTTGTGGCCCCTCGAAAATCTACGAAATCATCGAAAGCGGCTTCTCCTCAAAATCTACGAAATCATCGAAAGCGGCTTCTCCCCAAAGTCAAAAAAAGTTAGCAACAGTTAGTCGTGGTCGAGAAGTGTCAGCATCTGCCAATTTTGACACGGCAACCTTTGCTTAAAGAAGAATTAACACATGATTATTATAATCCAAAGAGGGGAAGGGAGGAGCGTTTCGTTTTTTTAACCAGTGCAGGACTCTTTTCAATCTCAAGAGATATGATTACCAAAAAAAGAAAAAGAAAGAAGAAGCAGGCCTTACAATATTTGAACGTCGTACGGAGCTTCGCTTAAGTGCCTCTTGGGCAGACGCATCGACACCAGCCAGCGGAGAGCGAACTTGAGACCCCCCCCCCCAATCCCTCCCTCCCCCAAAGCACCCTCATTATTATTATTATTATTACTACGGCCACTACTACTGCTGCTGCTCCTCCTCCCCGTAGATGTCGTTCTTCTTCCGCTTCATCTCCTCGAAGTCGAAGTCTGAGCCCATCATCCGCTTGTAAATGTCTTTGATGTCGTCGCATGTCGTCTCAAAGTGGGTGGTGGCGTCGTAAGTGCGGGAAATGAAGATCTGGGGAAAGGAGGGAGAGAACTTCTTGAAAAACATGAGCCAACAATGTGATGTGGCGGCAAAAAAAGCCAATGGGATTTTGGCCTGCATCAATAGGAGCATAGTGTCTAGATCTAGGGAAGTCATGCTCCCCATGCTCTATTCTGCCTTGGTTAGACCGCACCTGGAATATTGTGTCCAATTCTGGGCACCACAATTGAAGAGAGATATTGACAAGCTGGAATGTGTCCAGAGGAGGGCGACTAAAATGATCAGGGGTATGGAGAACAAGCCCTATGAGGAGCGGCTTAAGGAGCTGGGCATGTTTAGCCTGAAGAAGAGAAGGCTGAGAGGAGATATGATAGCCATGTATAAATATGTGAGAGGAAGCCACAGGGAGGAGGGAGCAAGCTTGTTTTCTGCTTCCTTGGAGACTAGGACGCGGAACAATGGCTTCAAACTACAAGATAGGAGATTCCATCTGAACATGAGGAAGAACTTCCTGACTGTGAGAGCCATTTGACAGTGGAACTCTCTGCCCCGGAGTGTGGTGGAGGCTCCTTCTTTGGAAGCTTTTAAACAGAGGCTGGATGGCCATCTGTCAGGGGTGATTTGAATGCAATATTCCTGCTTCTTGGCAGAATGGGGTTGGACTGGATGGCCCATGAGGTCTCTTCCAACTCTGAGTCTATGATTCTATGAAAACAAAGAAGCACCAACACTCGTATACAGTGTTCCCTCACTTATTGCGTGTGTTACGTTCCAGGACCATCCGCAAAAGTTGAAAATCCGCAAAGTAGGGACGCTATATATATATCTATATAAATAAATAAAAATGTAATGTTCGTTTGTGGGACGAACAGAACTCAAAAACCACTGGACGAATTGACACCAAATTTGGACCCAAGACACCTAACCACCCAATGTATGTCCTTCACTCATAAAAACACTGAAAATCACAGCAGAAGGGACTTTAAAAGCCCCAAAAAGCTAAATGACAATACAGAAAAAAGGGAAGAAAGAGGGAGGGAAGAAGAGAAAAGAAAAGAAAAGAAAAGAAAAGGGGGAAAGAAAGGAAAGGGAGACGGAAGCATGGAAGCAAAGAGAGAAGGAAGGAAGGAAAGAGGTAGAGAAGGAAGAAAGGAGAGAAGGAAAGAAAAAAGGGAAAGAAGGAAGGAAAGAGGGAGCGAGGAAGGAGATGAGAGAAGGGAGGGAAGGAGAAAGAAAAGGAAGAAAAGACAGCAGAAGAGAAAGAAAGAAGGGAGGGAGGGAAAGAAGGAAAGGAAGAGGGACAGGAAGGAAGGGAAGGAAGGAAAGAAGGAGGGAAAGGAAGGAAGGAAGGAAGGAAGGAAGGAAGGAAGGAAGGAAGGAAGGAAGAGGGAAAGAAGGAAGTAGGGAAAGAAGGAGAGAAAGAGGGAAGGTTGGCCACAGCAACGCGTGGCGGGTACAGCTAGTATTTATATAAATAAAAATGTAAAGGTTGCAAGTTTGAAGCCCCGGGTTGGCGTGAGCTGCCAACTGCCAGCTGTCAGCCTAGCTCATTGTTTACCTAAGCGATTCGGAAACAGCTTTAGCTGTGATTAGAGAAATTAGGTATGGCTAAAAGCAGGGGAGGTGTTTCACAACGCCATAAAAGAAAGAAGATCAGAAAATGCTGGGCGACCAAAAGGAAGGAGGAAGTCCTGACAGTGCTTGGTCATAGAAGATAGAGCAACAGCACCCCTCTGGACTCGAGCCCAACCTTCCACGGCACCAGAAACAGCTGGACACTGAGTCGAAACAAACCACCTCCTTCTGTTCTGTCTGTCTGTTTATTGTCTATACAAAGCGGCATTGAATGTTTGCCGTGTATATGTACTGTGATCCGCCCCGAGTCCCCTTTGGGGTGTGAAGGGCGGAATATAAATATAGTATTGTTGTTGTTATATTATTATTGTTATTATTATGTTTAAAACCTTATCAGAGCATCCTGAGTATTATTATTATTATTATTATTATTATTATTATTATTATTATTATTATGTTTAAAATCTTATAAGAGCATCCTGAGTATTATTATTATTATTATTATTATGTTTAAAACCTTATCAGAGCATCCTGAGTATTATTGTTGTTGTTGTTGTTGTTGTTATTATTATTATTATTATTATTATTTTATTATTATTATGTTTAAAACCTTATCAGAGCATCCTGAGTATTTCCCCTCCTGTTTCCTACCATAACTTCATATACAGTATTGAATATTCCTGTTATTGATACCCAATATTCCCCCAATAGTGCCCATGTCACACAAACCTGGCTCTCTCTTCCCAAGTCGGTTGGTGCAAACAGGTCGCAGACACTAACAAACCTAGAGGGAGAGAAAAAAAAAGGAGAAGGCTGGTTTAGGAGTGTGTTCGGATACAACACAGTATGACAACAGTCATGAGAAACTGGCCTGCATGATAGCAGGGATTCTAAAACACTTGTATGATGGAAAGAATATCTGCAAACCCACCTTTTGCATTTGGAGGGAATGTTAAGTGCGCACACTGCATGCTAAATGTCTCCAGATTAAGTGCCCAGGAAGTTTTTAGACCGGGCATGGGCACACTTGGGCCTTACCTCCAGGTGTTTTGGACTTCAACTCCCACAATTCCTAACAGCCGGTAGGCTGTTAGGAATTGTGGGAGTTGAAGTCCAAAACACCTGGAGGTAAGGCCCAAGTGTGCCCATGCCTGGCTTACATGCTTAGCTATCTGCTGGAAGCACCGTCTCCAAAATGGCACACGTGGAGTTCGTCTTGCATTGGTTAGAGGTCTTCTTCTGGAATGCAATGCCTCTCCAACGGTGCCTGAAAAGGGCAATTGCTGTTAGGGGACTTACTTCTGCTCAATTGGCTCAAGAAGCTCCAGGGCGGGCTTGATCTCCTTCTCTGGGTCGCTCGTCTCCACGGTGGTGCTCACAATGGCAATGTACTTCCCTTGCGCCGCCACGTTGTGCGCAGAGGAGATCATGCAGACATAGATGTCTGGAAGGCAAAGGGGAGCCAAGTCAGGCCAAAGTCTAAATAGAAAGTGCTCATAGTTGATCGCTGCAAAACCATCCTTTCTCAAGTGAGATGGCGGGAAGGAGAGCAAACTCTTCTGATGGATTCAGATCCAGACTCTTCTGAGGCTCTGAGTATAAGCAATTTGCTCCAAAATGGAAACATCCTGCTCTATATCCTACTAAGTAATGAAATATCATCTGGGAAGGAATCTCAATGGAGCATTGCAGCACACCCAAATATGTGAGAGCGAACCTGGACTGTGCTCTGAGCTACAAGAAGCACTGCTTTAATACCAAGCAAAAAGTGGGTGCTAGAACTAACATCATATGAAAGCTGACTGGCACAACCTGGGGGTCACAACCAGACACAGTGAAGACATCTGCCCTTGCGCTGTGCTACTCTGCTGCTGAGTATGCATGCCCAGTGTGGAACACATCTCGCCACGCTAAAACAGTGGATGTGGCTCTTAATGAGACATGCCACATTATCACGGGGTGTCTGCGCCCCACACCACGGGAGAAATTACACTGCTTAGCCAGTATAGCACCACCTGACATCTGTCAGGGAGTAGCAACCAATAGTGAAAGGACCAAGGCAGTGACACCCCCAGCTCATCCCTTGTTTGGATATCAGCCAGCAGGTCAACGACTTAAATCAAAACATAGTGGTCTAAGATCTACAGAGACACTCGCTGGAACGCCTCAGCAAGCGAGAGTCCAAAAGTGGCAGGCTCCAACCCAGAACCTCAATCCATGGCTGATACCAAATGAGAGACTCCCCCTGGGCACACAGAAGACTGGGCGACTGAACAGACTGCGCTCTGGCATCAAGAGATGCAGAGCCAACCTTCAGAAATGAGGCCACGACATGCGAGGGAGGAGAAGAGTAAACCACAGACCACATACTACAATGCAACCTGAGCCCTGCCACATGCACAATGGAGGACCTTCTTGCAGCAACACCAGAGGCACTCCAAGGGGACAGATACTGGTCAAAGGACATTTAATCATAGAATCATAGAAATGGGGCTACAAAGTGGAATCCACGACATGCGGGTGTGGAGAAGAGCAATCTACAGACCACCTACTGCAATGCAACCTAAGCCCTGCCACATGCACAATGGAGGACCTTCTTATAGCAAGACCAGAGGCACTACAAGTCGCCAGTTACTGGTCAAAGGACATCTATATAAATAAAAATGTAATGTTCGTTTGTGGGATTAACATAACAAAAACCACTGGATGAATTGACACCAAATTTGGACACAATACACCTCTCAGGCCAACGAGTGACCATCACTCATAAAAACACTGAAAAACACAGCAGAAGGGACTTAAAAAGCCAAAAAACAAAAATTACATTACAATGCATGCTCAAACCCATTTATGTGCGCAACCACATATATACACAAATATATACACACTCATACACACACACACAAAATACATATACACAGATGGGGCCACAGCAACACATGGCAGGGGATGGCTAGTTTAATATAATTGCCAAGTTTTAAAACTTTGTGTTTTTTTAAATAAATTACAACTGTAGCCTTGGTTTGCTCCTGATAAGATAAATAAATACATAATCTGCATATAGCAGAAGACCAGTGCTATCACTCAGCTTCAAAGCATCCTCTAAGGCAGTAGTTCCCAAACTTTGGTCCTCCAGATGTTTGCAACTTCAGCTCCCACAACTCCTGACCACTGGGACTAATTAGGATGACCTTGCAAAGGTTGTTAAATCTCCCCATATCTTGTTCTGTGCCATGAGTCAAGATCCACCCCATCATACATAATTGCTATTAACAGGTTTTGCAAAACCGAAGACTCCCACTTTACAAGGAAAAAGTTCTATTGAGCCACTTGTCTCTGCGAAAGGCATCAGCAAGAGAATTTGTGGGGCTGACACCCAACCAGAAGACCGGCTTGCTCTTGCACTTACCCGATTTCCTGTTCACTTGGTTCTGGGGAATGATGATCTGGCACGAATTGGCGTCGTTGGTGTTCTTGATCGGGTGGCTCATGATGCAGATGACCCGGATCACTTTGCCGACCTTTTTGACTCTGTCTGGGACGTAGCTGGGGTCGCAGATGAGCTGCTTGCAGCGGGCAATCTGCAAGGAAGCAGGTGCCCAGGTTGAGAACGAGGGATTTCCTCACTCACTAGGTAATCTGGATTCAATGCTAGTCAGAGGAAGAATACAGAGACAACTGGCCCAGGAAGCCATCCCCATTCCCTTTGGAAGCACAGGTATGAGCCAACTTGGGCCCTCCAGGTATTTTGGACTTCAACTTCCACAATTCCTAACAGCCTACCGGCTGTTAGGAATTGTGGGAGTTGAAGTCCAAAATACCTGGAGGGCCCAAGTTGGCCCAGGTTAAGCAGTTTTGAACAGGAGTTAATAGCCCCACTACTTTACCTCTCCTTCTGACTTCACGCCAACCACTTTGCCGTTTTCTATGACAATCTCTTCAATGGGCTTGTTCAGCATGTAGGTCCCGCCATAGATGGCACTTAGCCTGTGAACGAAACACAAACGTTGCATGATATCCTGCTGCATGGTGCCCTGGGGGCGCAGCGGGTTAAACTGCTGAGATGCTGAACTTGCTGACCGAAAGGTCGGCGGTTCGATTCCAGGGAGCAGGGTGAGCTCCCATTGTTGGCTCCAGCTTCTGGCAACCTAGCAATTTGAAAACATGCAAATGTGAGTAGATCAATAAGTACTGTTATGAGATGCATTGTGTTGTCTATTGTGGTGTCAATACTGTATATTATGCTTTTATGGTTTTTAAATTATATATCGTTGATTGATTCTTATCCTTGTTGTACACCGCGTTGAGTCGCCTGTTGGGCTGAGAAACTGCGGTATACAAGTAAAGTAAAGTAAATAAATAAATAAAATACTGCTCCAGTGGGAAGGTAATAGCACTCCTTGCAGTCATGCTGGCCACATGACCTTGGAGGTGTCTATGGACAACGGCGGCTCTTTGGCAGAGAAATGGAGATGAGCACCAATCCACAGAGTCGAACACGAGTTTACTATTTTGCTGCACGAGGAGCCAGGTTCGAATTCAGGAGCTACACAAGGCCTTATTTTACTAAGTGAAACCGTCACTGGCTTTTATTTCCATCTGGATTATACTTTCTCTACATTCAAGGCTGTAGTTAGAACTGACAAATTCTCACTTCCTCCCTTGTAATCTTACAATCCACTTGGCTATGTGCTCATTGTATGTTGGCAACTGTCATCATTAGTTGCTGATATTAATCCACTTACAATGGTGTTAAAAAACAAAGTATGGATCGTCAATGTTGCAATCCCAGGCAACAGCAGGATCAAAGAGAAACAGCTAGAGAAGCTGACACAATATGAGGATTTAAAGATTGAACTGCAAAGACTGGCACAAGCCAGTAAAAGTGGTCCCAGTGGTGACTGGCACACTGGGTGCAGTACCTAAAAACCTTGGCCTGCACGCAAACACAATCGGCGCTGACAAAATTACCATCTGCCAGCTGCAAATGGTCACCCTACTCGGACCTGCACGCATTATTCACCAATACATCACACAGTCCTAGACACTTGGGAAGTGTCCGATGTGTGATCCAATGCAACAACCAGCAGAGTGATCTTGTCTGCTGTGTTCCAATCTTGTGTTTCAAACAACAACAACAACAACAACAACAACAACAACAACAACAACAACAACAATAATAATAGGAGAAGCCAGCATAGTTATCTTGTTTGTTGTGTACCAATCTTGTTGTGTATCAATCAATCAATCAATCAATTAATGTAGTATGATACACTTTGGAGCAAATTGCTAATAACCTGTGGACGAACCCAACAGCCAGCAAAGTGATTTTGTTTACTGTATACTAATCTTATTGTGTTTCAAACAACAACAACAAAACTTTATTTATACACTGCCACCATCTCCCGGAGGAACTCGGGGCAGCTCACAAAGCACAAAAATTGCAGAAACAATAACATAACAAAACAGCCAATATAAGTATCTCACGTCACAAAACCCCCTGGCAAAATCCATAAAATACAGCGATAGCTGCAGGTATAAACAACAGCAACCCATTTCAGTCCTGTAAACCCCTTTGTAGAAGTGTACACAAGAAAAGGGATCTCACCTTGCAAATCCCTGGGGCAGCTCCCCTAGGCCATAAAGCGGATACAGGTAGGGGCTTTTGCCATATCTAGCTAGAGACTCGCTGTACAATTTAATCCTGTTGATTGATTCATGGCAGGGTTGGTCTAGGTAGCTGAAACAGAGAGAGAGAGAGAGAGAGAGAGAGAGAGAGAGAGAGAGAGAGGGAGTTTAGATAAAATAACAACATTGGGATTGCTGCTCAGGGTCAAAACTCGCCATAAATCCTGCAAATGTATGCTGTTCTGCAACTGCTGGGCATGGGCAAACTTGGGCCCTCCCTCCAGTTGTTTTGGACTTCAACTCCCACAATTCCTAACAGCCTACCGGCTGTTAGGAATTGTGGGAGTTGAAGTCCAAAACAACTGGAGGGAGGGCCCAAGTTTGCCCATGCCTGTGTTAGACAGAAGTCTCCTATAATCTTGCAATTCCCTGAGATGTGAAGCTCTCGGGCGGGAGCCTTGATTTCACCATTTCCCAAAAGTGGGAGGCTCTCCCGAACGCAAGGAAAGGAACACAACTTACTCATCGGTCCTGTACAGTGCGAGGGCATGGCCGGTGAAATCTATGACGTCTTGGCCCAAGTCGAACTTCTTGTACACGTCGCGCATGGTGTTCTTCTTGGGGTCGACGCCTTCGAAAGTGCGGGAATCGTTCTCGTCGAAGTTGGCGACGTACACGAGGAATTTCCTGAAGCGCCTTTTCTCAAATAGGCCCATCAGACCTACAAAGCCAGGGAAAGGTTGGGTTAACTCACACAATTCCTAACAAGCTACCAGAGGAACACCTGGAGAGAAGGCCAAGGTTTACCCATCGTGGCTTAAGGCATGTCTCACAAATCTGATCGTAAATGCTAGCCTTCTCCGCTGTGGCCCCCAACTTTGGAACTCACTGCCTGGTGAGATTAGGCAAGCCCGCACCCTAGCAGCCTTCAAGAAGGATCTCAAAACTTGGCTTTTCCGGTGTGCCTTTGGAGAGTTACCATATACTGTATATACTCGAATATAAGCCTAATTTTTCAGTACTTTTTTTTTGGCTGACAAAATCTCCCCTGGCTTACACTCGAGTCAATGTTATTTATTATTTTACTTTGTTGTTGTTATTATTATTATTATTACATTTATTTGAGTTCTAGGGCCAGAGAAGTAGCTTACGTCAGTGGCTTATGATACTGTAAACCACCGCCTCCTCCTGAGAAAAATGTATATATCACAAAGGACTACCATCTCACCCGCCTCATAGGAAACCTGCTACAAAACAGGAGCTTTTTTGTTGAATTCCAGGGCCAGAGAAGCAGATGGCGGAAACAGAAGAACGGCCTGCCTCAGGGGAGCGTGCTTGCTCCATCCATGTTCAACATTTACACAAATGACCAGCCACTGCCAGAAGGGACAGAGAGCTTCATCTATGCTGATGATCGTGCCATTACCGCTCAAGCAGGGAGCTTTGAGATGGTTGAACAGAAGCTCTCCGAAGCTCTAGGTGCTCTTACTGCCTATTACAGGGAAAACCAGCTGATCCCTAATCCATCTAAAACACAGACATGTGCCTTTCACCTTAAGAACAGACAAGCATCCCGAGCTCTGAGGATTACCTGGGAAGGAATCCCACTGGAGCATTGCAGCACACCCAAATGCCTGGGAGTCACTCTGGACCGTGCTCTGACCTACAAGAAGCACTGCCTGAACATCAAGCAAAAAGTGGGCGGTAGAAACAATATCATACGAAAGCTGACTGGCACAACCTGGGGATCACAACCAGACACAGTGAAGACATCTGCCCTTGCGCTGTGCTACTCTGCTGCTGAGTATGCATGCCCATGTGGAACACATCTCACCACGCTAAAACAGTGGATGTGGCTCTTAATGAGACATGCCGCATTATCACGGGGTGTCTGCGCCCTACACCACTGGAGAAATTACACTGCTTAGCCGGTATTGCACCACCTGACATCCGCCGGGAAGTAGCAGCCAATAGCGAAAGGACCAAGGCAGAGACATCTCCAGCTCATCCCGTTTGGGTATCAGCCAGCACGTCAACGACTTAAATCAAGAAATAGTTTTCTAAGATCTACAGAGACACTCGCTGGAACAACTCAGCAAGCGAGAGTCCAAAAGTGGCAGGCTCAAACCCAGAACCTCAACCAATGGCTGATACCAAATGAGAGACTCCCCCCTGGGCACACAGAAGACTGGGCGACTTGGAAGGCGCTGAACAGACTGCGCTCTGGCACCACAAGATGCAGAGCCAACCTCAAGAAATGGGGCCACACAGTGGAATCCACGACATGCGAGTGTGGAGAAGAGCAAACCACTGACCACCTGCTGCAATGCAACCTGAGCCCTGCCACATGCACAATGGAGGACCTTCTTGCAGCAACACCAGAGGCACTCCAAGTGGCCAGATACTGGTCAAAGGACATTTAATAGAATACCAAGTCTGCAAATTTTGTGTTTTGTTTGTTTGTTTGTTTGTTTTTAATGCAATACAACTGTTTTGGTTTGCTCCTGACACGATAAATAAATAAATCTATATATTTTTATGTATTTTATTATTGTTATATTTATTATTTTACTGTATTATTATTACGTTTATTATTTTATTCTATTGATTATTATTGGAGGACATATAAGCATATTTACATTGAAGAAGGTTAGAATAATGGTTTAATCAGAGTTGGACAGTCTTATCTTGAATTACAGTTTTATGTAAATATTCAAAAACATTTAACCTACTGATGCCTAAATTAATATAATTTTATTGGTATCTATTTTTATTTTGAAATTTACCAGTAGCTGCTGCATTTCCCATCCTCGACTTATACTCGAGTCAATACATTTTCCAGGTTTTTTTGTGGTAAAATTAGGTGCCTCGGCTTATATTCGGGTCAGCTTATACTCGAGTATATACAGTACCTCTTTTTTGTTGTTCCTTTCAAAATGCTGCCCTCATTGCTGCCACCGGGACTGTGGCGCAGCTGGCTGAGTGTCAGCTGCATTAAGATCACTCTGACCAAAAGGTCATGAGTTCGAAGCCAGCCGGGTTGGAGTGGGCTTCCAACCAATTGTGTAGCCTGTTGTCGACCTTTGCAACCCGAAAGACAGTTGCATCTGTCAAGTAGGAAAATTAGGTACCACCTTGTGTGGGGAGGCTAAATTAACTAATTTATGAGGCCATAAAAAAGACTCCCAGCAAAAAGCATGCGGGGAATGTGGAAGTACTTCATCAGTGTCGCAGATGGACGATGAAAGCGACAGCTCCCCTGGCGGCCAGAAAAAGTTAAATAGCCTCTGTGTATGTCTGTATACGTTGTATGTCAAAATTGGCATTGAATGTTTGCCATATATGTGTACACTGTAATCCGCCCTGAGTCCCCTGCGGGGTGAGAAGGGCGGAATATAAAACTGTAAATAAAATAATAATAATAATAATAATAATAATAATATTACACCCCTCCCCGACCTGTTTGAAGGCCTGTCTCCACTATTCCGTCCCCTACGAACTTCTTCCTTGCAAATATTTATTTTTATCTCATCCTGAGTTTTACCATTTTATGTTGTACATTTGGCCCACCCATTGCGACTGATTTCTCATTTTGTTATTTTGCATTGTTTTATTGTATTCCTGTTTTATTTATTTTACTGTGATATTAGTTCTGTTCTTCTGTATTTATTTTGCTGTAATGTACTACTGGGCTTGGCCTCATGTAAGCCACCCTGAGTCCCCTTTGGGGAGATGGTGGCGGTGTATAAATAAAGATTATTATTATTATTATTATTATTATTATTTATTAATATTATTATTAGTAGTAGTAGTACAGTGTTCCCTCACTTACTGAGGGGGTTACGTTCCAGGATCTCCCGCAATAAGTGAAAAACCGCGATGTAGGGACGCTACATTTATTTTAATATTTATACATTATTTTAGTAGTCATACACTATTTTAAGTCTTTATAAACTTAAAATAAAGTGAAGGAAAGGAAGGAAAGGCCCTTCAAGGCTGGAGGAAAGGAGGACTGAGGAGGGAAAGCGCCTCAGAGAGCGGCGGTGGCAAAAACATGCAAAACAGCAAAAATACCACAATATATATTTTAAATTTAAAAAATTTGAAAACCACGAAACAGCGAGTCCGCTAAAAGCAAACCATGAAGTAGCGAGGGAACACTGTACTACTTTTCTTAACTTTTGGATTCCCATATTTTCTCCAAGCCTGGACACAAGGTGGCTTGCAACAAAACAAATCCACACAAACTGAAAGCAGCCACCCAAGACCTCAGGCATCCTTCTTAATCCGGCCACTCGAGATGCTTCTAAGCCAGAGAAATCACGAGACTGAACCCAGGGGCCTTCTCAATGCAAAGGCAGCCAGTCAACTTAGCAGTGAGCTTATGTCACAGGTCTCCAAGGGACTGAACGTGCACAAAGGCATGCAGTCAGGACTGACACAGCATCATTCCACTGTGGTCTGTGCTACGGCACCAAAAAATACAAACAAACAAGCAAACAAAAAAACCAAACCCAACTTATGGCATCAGCACTATACAAGGGTGCGGTTTCCACAGCAGAAATACAGCTATGTGTAAAATGACCAGCTACAAATGACTTTTGGTTAGATATGGAATGGTTCTGACTTGAACTAGATGGTGACAGACAGAAATGAGGGGCAAGGGGCACTGGTTGAGGCATTATGGGGACAGGAAGTGGCCTTAACCCTAACCCTGATTTCACCCTGCAGAATGGTTACAGTGTTCCCTTGCTACTTCGCGGTTCGCTTTGTGCGGACTCGCTGTTTCGTGGGTTTTTGCCTCCTGGTGTCCGGAGTTGCCCTTCAAAAACAGTCTTTAGACAACGTTGAAAGTAAAAGAAAAATGCTTTACTTCAGCAAACACAAAGGATAAGCAAATGCAATTGAAAAGTGCGAAAGAAAGCAGGAAATCTTAATCCAGACACAAATTAAAGTCTCTTATAAAGTCCCAAAAGAAACACCAGTCTTCCATCAGACAACGGACAATGAACAAAGTTCTTAGCAGCAGACACAAAGAAGATTCAATTGGAGTGAAAATATCAGTATCAGGTTTGTTGTTACCAGCGAAAGCTGAGTGCTCCTACTACTGATTTTTAGCCCTGAATTCCCCACGCAGGAGGTGCTAGGGCATCTCCCAATTAGCTCAGCGTTTTTAGCAGTTATCCTAACCGAACGCCATCTGTACTCTGTCTCTTTTCTGTGCTCTGTCTCTCTAGAAATGTGGGCACTTTCAAACCCTCATTGTCTGACTCCTCCCTCCAATTCCTGAGCATTTCCCTGCTCCCCTTCCTCCTCCGAAGATGAGGAATCCCTAACATCTGGAGTGTGGAAGGGGGTTTTACCCTCCCCCTCAGGAAAGAGGCAACCAATCATAAAAGAAGAGAGAAAATACAAAGCAGTATGTAAATCATGGCCTTACAGTCCCTTCCTTATAGCTAGCAAAAAAAAAAATGTGCAGTGCCTGTAAATCTTTCCTCGCTTCTGTCTCACTCTTGGAATGTGATTCCCTACTTTGCGGATTTTCACTTTTCACGGGTGGTCCTGGAACGTAACACCTGCAATAAGTGAAGGAACACTGTACTAACGTTCTCCAAAGCCATGACATGGGAGGCTTCATTCAGCTAAATTGCACTGATGTTAAATTTCCTATGTTCATTTCTGAGCACTTCTCAAATGAATGCATGCAAGTTTAATGAAGTTGGCCAAACACACAATAACACTGTGGACTGAGTGCATGGATACTGATGCCCTTCTGGATTCATTACCGCATCTCTGAGAACTCCAATTAGTTCAACAATGCTCTACAACAGTGGTTCTCAACCTGGGGTCCCCAGATGTTTTTGGCCTTCAACTCCCAGAAATCCTAACAGCTTGTAAACTGGCTGGGATTTCTGGGAGTTGTAGGCCAAAAATATCTGGGGACCCCAGGTTGAGAACCACTGTTCGACAACAATAATGTTCATAGAATCCTAGAGTTGGAAGAGACCTCATGGGCCATCCAGTCCAACCCCTTTCTGCCAAGAAGCAGGAACATCACATTCAAAGCAACCCCAACAGATGGCCACCCAGCCTCTGCTTAAAAGCCTCCAAAAGAGGAGCCTCCACTACACTCCGGGGCAGAGAGTTCCACTGCTGAATAGCTCTCACAGTCAGGAAGTTCTTCCTCATGTTCAGCTGGAATCTCCTGTCGTTTGAAGCCATTGTTCAGGGCAGCAGAAAACAAGCTTGCTCCCTCCTCCTTATAACTTCCCCTCACGTACTGATCCATGGCCATCCTCATGTCTCCTCTCAGCCTTCTCTTCTGAAGGCTAAACATGCCCAGCTCTTTAAGCCTCTCCTCATAGGGCTTGTTCTCCAAAGCCTTGATCATTTTGGTCACCCTCCTCTGGATGCATTCCAGCTTAGAGTCAACATCTCCCTTCAACATGTTGAACACAGAAGAACCCCAAAAGACATTTTTAAAAAGCTACAGGCACTTACTGGATGCCAAGGCTTCTGCCTCAGTTGAAGGGACTTTGTAAATCTTCCCTGCTTTGTAGACAAAGCTTCCTTCAATCACTTTGAAGTCCAAGTAGCGAGTGACTTCTGTGTACATCAACATCTTGACCAGCTGGCCTGGAATCAAAACGAACTTTAATGTGAATCAGCTGAAGTGAATCAGTTTTATTATAATAATTGTATTTTATTTGTTATCTGTCACTCCTCACAGATCAAGGTGAGCACAACAAATTTAAAAGTAAAGGTTTCCCCTGACATTAAGTCTAGTTGGTGTCGCTATCTGGTGTCTACATTTTACATTTTTGATTCCAACAGTCCCTATGAGCTTCTCTATCTCTTTAACATCGCATGTGGTTTCTTCCCCCCCCCCTTTAAATTGAGGGAACTCCCAGACGCAATTAAAATCAAACACAGAGCAGAGTATCTTGTGAGTACACCTATTTTGTGAAATATGTTTATAATTAGATGAAATATTTATTTTCTGGACAGGAGAGCAGCAATTCCAGGGTACAAGGGGGAAACTGTGGAGTTTTACTTAGCCAGAAGTAGCAGCCATAAACCCACCATTAGCCATGAGGAATTTGGGGATCAGGTCCACATTCCAGTCTCTTCCTCGGCCCATCGACTCAGGTGGACTCCCTGGCAGGCAAAACCTTTTGTACAGCTGGAAGAGAAAGACATGGTGAAATTAAGACGGTGTGTTAGTATCCTTAAAGCAAGTTCTAGGTCGGCCAATAGTAAAGGCCTGGGCTATCCAAGCTGTTTCAGCATAAACCTTTTGTCATAATCCTGGATTTAAAAGAAGAAAAGAAATCCGTGAATTGTATTTGAAGCAGAATCCAAAGGCTCTTGAACAAGCTTCTAGTTAACACAAGTCCTACATATGCTGTGCCTCCCTCTGGTTCTTCAACACACCAGCCACCTTTCTCTAGAAGATGATCATACCTGAGTGGGTCAAATAGTTTTGCCTCCTATGTCATAAAAGTGTTATGAATGAACATATAACAGCCGAAGCTACTACAAATCATAGCCTGAACTGTCCTCTACACAAAACTACCGCTCAAGATAGTCACTATCAATTTGTACACTTGTGCCATCATTTAACCCAGGCAGCAAAACAATTTTGGAAAATTTCAGGGTTTTGCTTCGTGATCCCTTGATTTTAAAGCTGTTTGAACGTCATTCAAGTAATAGAATCTGAAACCACGTAGGTTGTCTTTCAGAGGTCCAAACAGGTAAAAGTCAGAAGGGGTCAAATCCTAAACATTTTTCAAGCAATGAAGGATTTCCTTAGGTGCACAACCTTCTTAAGCTAGAAATTCAATGACGACTCTTTATTTTACCTTCAGATTCATGGTTCTAATTAGTCAATTGGAAAAAGAAATAACCATATCAGTAGAATAAGGTTTCCCCTATCATATTATGCATGGTTACAGACCAAAGTGAGTGACCACATATGTGGACTGAGTTGAACATGATTTTACCATGGCAATTTGGTATATATGTATTTTATCTATATGTATTTTAATCTTGTATTGTTATGATGTTTTAACTTGTATTAGTAGCATCGAATCCTTGCTGTAAGCCGGTCTGAGTCCCTCTATGGAGGTGAGAAGATTGGGATAGAAAAGTTTTAAATAAATAGATAGATACGAGGGATGAATGAAAAGTAATGCCTCCACCTTCGTAACTCCTCAACAGATGGCAATACTGATATGCAACAGGTACTGGCTTGTTCAGTAGACTCTCCTCTACAGTTCCAGTTTGTTGGGAAGCCTTAGCATTGAACGGTTGTGTTGTTAACATGCAAAGTATGGAACCCTGCACAGACAGTTGGTCAATGCGACTTAAGCAACGTGTAGTCATTGAATTCTTGACAGCAGAAGGTGTCACCTCAACATCTTTAAACTTACTCTCCCAACAATGCACAGTACTCACATCAATACAATCACCATACACAGCTTACATTCTCTCATGAATCTCCTTTGGGGTGACACCTTCTGCTGTCAAGAATTCAATGAATGCACTTTGCTTAAATCACATTGACCGACCATCTCCTCAGGGTTCCATACTTCATACTGTAACAACACAACCGTTCAATGCTAAGGCTTCCCGCCAAAATGGAACTGTGGAGGAGAGTCTACTGAACAAGCCAGTACCTGCCGCATACCAATACTGCCATCTGTTGAGGAGTTACGAAGGTGGAGGCATTACTTTTCATTCAACCCTCGTAGTCCAGTAGCCATGAAAGAAAAAGAGTGATGGAAGCGTTATTTTTTGACCCACCGTCACACCACCCCCTTCTATGCCAACTCCACTGGCTGCTGGTCCATCTCCGAACCCAATTCAAAGTGCTGGTTTTGACCTATAAAGCTCTATACAGTCCTGGCCCAGCTTACTTGTACAAACGCATCCACCCCTACGTCCCACCTCTAAATCATCCGGGGAGGCCCTGCTCTCGCTCCCGTCAACAGCGCAAATGCACCTGGAGGGGACAAGAGACAGGGGCTTCTCGCCTGTGGCCCCCCGCCTATGGAACACTCTCCCAAATGAGGTAAGATCTGCTCACTCCCTCCTGGCTTTTAGGAAAAAAAAATAAAAACATGGTTTTGGGACCAGGCCTTCGGGCAATAGAAACAAATCTATGCAGCATTTCGGAAAGACAATGACTGGAACGGCAATTCGACAGATGAGACTGTTTTACTGTTTTAATGATTGTTCTACTGTTTATGGATGTATTTTAATTTGATTTATGTCTAACTGTAATTGTATAATTGTAATTGTTTGTGCTGGCATTGAATTTTGCCATTACCTATGTGGAAACCGCTTTGAGTCCCCTTCGGGGTGAGAAAAGCGGTATACATATACTGTAAATAATAATAATAATAATTATTATTATTATTTTGTCATGGCAGGAGCGACTTGAAGAACTGCAAGTCACTTCTGGTGTGAGAGAATTGGCCGTCTGCAAGAATGTTGCCCAGGGGACGCCCAGATGATTTGATGTTTTTATCATCCTTGTGGGAGGCTTCTCTCATGTCCCCGCATGAGGAGCTGGAGCTGATAGAAGGAGCTCATCCGCCTCTCCCCTGATTTTAACCTGTGACCTGTCGGCCTTCAGTCCTGCTGGCACAGGGGTTTAACCCACTCCATATTTTCCGTCATATAATACAACTATTAGATAAAACGTTAGCAAACCCATAAATCTAAGTTGTACAATGCCAGAAAACCTGTCAGATCTGTACACATTTAGCACCTACTAACAATAGCCTCAGCATATGGATATGACTTTGAAAAAGGCACCAAACAAGCAGCTGATATCATAATCCTCAGGCTTTCTCCCTCCCACTCATTCGCACCACAGAAAACCTGTCAGATGATCATGGCTATAATCACCAGAAACCATTTCCGCCTCCCAATTAAGCCAGACTTGCAGGGAGGAAATCTGCCTATTTAGGATACGAAAGTAAATGGGGTGGGTGGGGGTCTTTTTAGCAGACCTACTGCAGAATCATACACAGACTGATAATAAATCCATTACTAGGGCTTGAGTAATGTGGCTTTAGCAGCAGCTAATAGGGGCTCTGCGTTCCAAGAGCTTTACACAAATCCCATGGGAAAGCAAACTGGGAAACGAAGCTAAATACTACTTGATGATCCTGAAGCATCTCGTGTGCCACCTCCATTCCTGTCCAATTGCGTTAGAAACAAAACAGGGAAAGGGAAATAACAGGTTTGCTTTGAAACAAAGTCCTAGAGCCACCTGAACAAAGCCTAGAGCCACTGGAATGGGAGGGCAAGGCCTGAGGATCACATCTATGCACTCGATCTCTTGTTAAATGCTGAACCCATTATTATTTCCAGGACTGCGAAAATAAAACCAGAAAAGGTGACTCCCATTGTAGCCTCCAGCATCCCTGGAAGGGATTAGAAACTGCATGTCAGCTTTCTAAAAGTCTATGTTATAAAATGGTCTTGATTTTACCCAACGGGAAGATACCATTATTATTCCTATTACTATTTTTGTCTTGTTCTGTTGTGAACTACCTTTAGCATATTTAATTGTTGCCTTTCCATTTGCGACTGATGCTCACAATATATTTTAGGGTTCTTCCACACTACTACACTAGGGTAGGCCTCTGATTTCACCTTAACTGCCATCCCAACATCCTATACAATCCTGAAGCATGCAGTCTGGTAAGGTGCTGGAGCTCTCTGTTTGGAAATTCAAAATATCTAAATATCCCTTCCTAAAGGCAAATGCCACATTCCTGAATCACAGTGTTGTAACTCTGTAGTGTGAAAGCTTGTAAGAAATCAGTGTGTGTATGTCAACTGTAAAATAAGATGCACAAAGCTGATTGGTCAGGCTATGCCAGGTGAGCTAGCTGAGTCTGGGACTTTTGGAGACTGTTACATTTTTCAGGCTTGAGCTACGCGGGGCTTGCAGAAAAACAGAGAGAGAAGCAGTGAGAGACAGAGTTTGGAGTATCTCTTGCTTCATGAGCTGCTGAAGGAGTTTATCCACATGGACAAAGAAAGACCATTTTAAATCTCTCATAATATTATTATATTATAATTATATTATATATTATAATTATAAATTTTATATTACGTGTAATATTACTAATAATATTACAATATAATGGTATAGTACAATATAGTAATATATAATACTGATATTGTACTACGCTAATAATATAATATATTGTATGTTTATATATCTTGTAAGCTGCTCTGAGTCCCCTTCGGGGTGAGAAGGGCGGCAGATAAATGTCGTAAATAAATAAATAATAATAAAAGGACATTATGTGAGTTGATGCAACTAATCACATTGTACATATGTTGTTCTGACTACGAAGACTAAACTACTTGTTCTGTACTGTTCATCTGCATGGCATATTTTCTTTCACTGGCAATGTAGTGTGTGGGGTGATTAAACGTGAACTACACGTGGTTTATTTTACATTACACCACAAAAGGTCCCAATATTATTTTGGTTCTTTTCCCATCTTCTATATCTGGTCTCACCCACTCAGCCATCTTGCTCATATTACTTATTCTTTATTTATTGAATCTATATCCTGTCTTTTCCCCCAAGATGGGATTTAAGGAAGCTTCATTAAGCAAACCCTTGGCACTTCTAAAACACCAGCCTGGAGGATAATGTGTTGCAGAATCATCAAGTTGGAAGAGACCACACGAGCCACTCAACCACCTGCCATGCAGGAAAAGCACAATCAAAACACCCTTGACAGATGGCCATCCAGCTTCTGTTTAAAAGCCTCCTCATCATATCTTATCATAACTAAGCATAACATACCAGCAAGAATGTATAATCTCCCCAGTTTACTCATTCATCTTCACTTAATATGTTATTTTTCGTCCTCAGTTCCAGAGGTCCTCAATTCTCGTCTATTTCCAAAGAGTTGGGAGGGACCACAAGACCATCCAGTCCAAAACCCTGCCATGCTGTAATAGGCAATATGGGTACTTCTCAAAAAAACCCATCCCATAGAAGCCACCTTAAGTAAAATCAAGTGGGGGATACTCACGTCTTCCAGGGGTGTAATGGATGCGCTTTCACCTCCATAGTAAGCATTGCGATCCATGTGAAGGACTTTCTTTCCATTCACGGACATAATGCCAGAGAGAATGCATTCCTGGAAAAAAAGACACAAAAATTAAACCAAGAAGCCTCTAAGTTCTTATTCCTTCATTCAAGATGCACAAGAGCATCCCAAGAGTTTGAGAGACACCCCGAGTTTATGGAAACCAAGCAGGTGGAAGTTAGACAAGGCGATTTGTATGACATACCCAAGTCCCTCTGACAGCTCACTGCAAGATAGCATGTGGGCTTGAGGACATGGCCATAGCAAGCAATGAAGAAAATGCCACGTATTATTTATTAACTACTTGGAGCAAACCTGCATCAAATTGGTATCTCGCAACAAATTCCTCCTATAAAAATGGCACAGAGAGCCAAATGGAATGACAATAGTCTTGGCTCCCAGATCTGTAAACAAAACAGCAGTGGTTCTCAACCTGTGGGTCCTCAGATTTTTTGGCCTTCAACTCCCAGAAAACCTAACAGATGGTAAACTGGCTGGGATTTCTGGGAGTTGTAGGCCAAAACACTTGGAGACCCATAGGTTGAGAACAACTGCTAAACCAATGTACTGGGACCAAACTATTGCACGAGATAGATATTTACCCATCCAAACGTATCATCCTGTATGAACTAGTCTGTAGCTTAAGATCTTCTGGAGAGGTACTGCTCTCAGCCCCACTGGCCTCACAGGGCGGTTGGTGGGGATGAGGGACAGAGCCTTCTCGGTGGTGGCCCCACGGCTGTGGAACTCTCTCCCAAGTGAGATCAGGTCGACCCCCTCCCTCCTGTCCTTTAGGAAACAGCTAAAGATCTGGCTATGGAACCAAGCGTTTGGGACATCATAGGAATATTTAAAGTTGAAAGTACACCCCGGACTGTTTACGGACAATGGCTATGTTTCTGTGTGATGTTAATTTATGTAAAGTGTTTAATAATGTTCAATGATTTATCAGGGGAGGGTCAATTTTGATGTTTTATACTGTTGTGTATTTATTGATGGCATTGAATTATTGTCAACACTGTGAACTGGCCTAAGTTCCCTTCGGGGTTGAAAAGGACAGTATACAAATACTGCAAATAAATAAATAAAATGATGAAGAAACACAACCTACAAACTATCTACAGACCCACTAAGAAAATCCAATAAATGCTACGTTCAACAAAGGACAAGAGGGATCCTCTCACCTCTGCAGGAGTCTACTGTGTACCATGCAGCTGTGGTCTACATAGGGACCACCAAACACAGCATTGCCCAAACACAAATCAAGGAACATGAAAGGCATTGCAGACTACTTCAACCAGAGAAGTCAGCCATAGCACCTGATGAACCAACCTGGACACAGCATATTATTTGAGAACACAGAAATGCTGGACCACTCTCACAACCACCATGTCAGGCTACACAGAGAAGCCATTGAAATCCACAAGAAGCATGTGGACAATTTCAACAGAAAGGACGAAACCATGGACATGAAAAAAATCTGACTACCATTATTAAAAAACTCTAAAATTATAACAGTAAATAAAAAACAACATTCAAACACAGGGGAACTCCAGAGAAGAAACAATCAGGGACAGCTAATCACCTCTCAACAAAGGATTCCCTCAGGCAGTAACAAGCCACACCTAAAAACTATCAGGCCATCAAATGCTAATCAAGATAGCCAATTGAAACATTCACACCTAGCTCCAACAGACAAGAGTTCTTTCTCCCACCCTGGACTTTTCACAGATAAATAAACCCAATTTTCCTAGTTTCCAACAGACCTCGCAACTTCTGAGGATGCCTGCCATAGATGCAGGCAAAATGTCAGGAGATTATGCTTCTAGAACATGGCCATACAGCCCGAAAAACCTACAACAACCCAGTGATTCCAGCCATGAAAGCCTTCGACAACACAAATAATATGGGTTTGGTTTGTCATGTCGTTTTCAGAGCTTTAAACCTTGTAACACACACAGAGTGAAAGATAGTGCAACTGAAGTAGGCATGTGGTCACCTCTTTACTCCAACAGTGAGAATTTTGTCACTTTCCAGACGTTCAACTGCAACTCCTGGTATCCCCAGCCATAAAAGCTATTCAACACAATGGGAGTGGCTGCACAACCGTCAACTCTGAGCCAGACTGCCAAGCTGGCAGGACTTTCTTTCTGACACCAAGTAGCGGGACATTATTTCTAAAACAACATGCATTTCCATTAAAGAAACTGTCTCCTAGCAAAACACGTTCATATTTTCCACGTCTTGAAATATCAGCCGCCTGCTCAGGCCAAGGGGGAAGAGCAGGGGTGCGGCTCTGTGGGCAAGCAGGGAAAGCAAATTGGCCACAAGCCCCGCTTCTTCCGCTTCCTTTAGCAGCCCAAAGCTGCAAGTTCAGCTCTGGCTTTCCTCTGCCTTCATGCGGAAGAATCTGAAACAGGAAGCTGGTGATCAGGGCGGGGAGGGGAGGAGAGAAAGAAAGGAAGGAAGGAAGGGAGAGAGAGCATAAAATCAAAGTGGCCTGCAATTGGCTGGCTCAAAAACACTATTTCTCTGTCTGTCTCTAGAGCAGTGTTTCTCAATCTTCCTAATGCCATGACCCCTTAATACAGTTCCTCATGTCGTGGCGACCCCCAACCATAAATGTTATTTTCATTGCTACTTCACAACTGTAATTTTGCTGCTGTTATGAATTGTCATGTAAATATCTGATATGCAGGGTGCATTTTCATTCACTGGACCAAATTTGGCACAAATACCTGATACGCCCACATTTGATTACTAGTGGGGTTGGGGCGGAGATTGATTTTGTCATTTGGGAGTTGTCATTGCTGGGATTTATAGTTCACCTACAATCAAAGAGCATTCTGGACCCCACCAAACCTCCCACACAAAGAATTGGGCCAAACCTCCCACACAAAGCCCCCATGACCAACAGAAAATATTGTGCTTTCTGAGGGAGCTTGGCGACCTCTCTGACACCTCCTCCAGATCCCCCCCCCCAGGGGTCCCGACCCCTGCTGCTCTAGAGCTTTCAGTTATTCTGAGAAAAGTGGCTGTCCAATTCAGAGGAAGAGGTGGCTGCCAGGATCCAGAGACAATCCTGTGGGTTGATACTTTCAATAATGGCAGCCAAGGCCATTAGTCCGCCCTCTTTCTTCCCCGCTTTTGGAACAAGGAGTTTCAGCCTGGACTGACTGTCCCTTCCTTACCAACTTAAGTGGTAAGGAAGGGACGGTCATAATCATCATCATCACCATCACCATCATCAACACATAATAATGTTTTATTTATAAGCTGCCCTATCTCCCCAAAGGAACTCAGGGCGGTATACAAATAATAAATAAACCTTTATTTATACCCTGCTACCATCTCCAGACCGAAAGCCTGATGGCCAAAAGCGAGGAGGAGCTGAGGTGCCTTCTAATCAAGGTGAAAGAAGAAAGCGCAAAAGCTGGGTTGCAGTTAAACGTCAAAAAAACCAAGATTATGGCAACAAGAATGATTGACAACTGGAAAATAGAGGGAGAAAATGTGGAGGCCGTGACAGACTTTGTATTTCTAGGTGCAAAGATGACTGCAGATGGAGACTGTGGCCAGGAAATCAGAAGACGCTTCCTTCTTGGGAGAGAGCAATGTCCAGTCTCGATAAAATAGTAAAAAGTAGAGACATCACACTGGCAACAAAGATCCGCCTAGTCAAAGCCATGGTATTCCCTGTAGTCACCTACGGATGTGAGAGCTGGACCTTAGGGAAGGCTGAGCGAAGGAAGAGATGCTTTTGAGCTGTGGTGTTGGAGGAAAGTTCTGAGAGTGCCTTGGACTGCTAGAAGATCCAACCAGTCCATCCTCCAGGAAATAAAGCCCGACTGCTCATTGGAGGGAAGGATAGTAGAGGCCAAGATGAAGTCCCTTGGCCACATAATGAGAAGAAAGGAAAGCCTAGAGGAGGAGCTGACCATCGCTCCATTGACATGGTCCGATCACTACCTGATTAGGTTTAGACTTACTGTTCCTCCTAACCTCCACAGAGGTATAATGCATGCATGTCAACTGTGAATTGATGTAATTTTGTGTATGATTGTTTTATGATACAGGCATCAAATTGTGCCTTTGTTTCTGTAAGCCGCCCTGAGTCCCCTTCGGGGTGAGAAGGGCGGGGTAAATGAACCCCAAATAAATAAATAAATAGAGAAGACAATTATGCTGGGGAAAGTGGAAGGTAAAAGGAAGAGTGGCCGACCAAGGGCAAGATGGATGGATGGCATCCTTGAAGTGACTGGACTGACCTTGAAGGAGCTGGGGGTGGTGACGGCCGACAGGGAGCTCTGGCGTGGGCTGGTCCATGAGGTCACGAAGAGTCGGAGACGGCTGAACGAATGAACAACAACATCCTTGAAGTGAGTGGACTGACTTTGAAGGAGCTGGGGGTGGTGACGGCCGACAGGGAGCTCTGGCGTGGGCTCGTCCATGAGGTCACGAAGAGTCGGAGACGACTGAACGAATGAACAGCAACACCATCTCCAGGAGGACTCAGTGCGGCTTACAAGAGGCCGAGCCCTATTACGTCAATAAAACAACGCAGCAATAAAGACAATAAAAAACTCATAAACAAAGCAATAAATAACAATAACACCACGACGTGCTAAAAACCTATGGCAGGGCCAAATGTAATACAAACAAAAGTAGCAAACATTCATTGCCAAAATGAACAAATAACAACAATAAATCAACTGGAGCCGCAGAGGGCAAGGCCCTCCTGGGCCCGTTGGTATATGTACACATGTGTACATGTTTTATTGCAAAGGGATTTGTGAGCCATTTGGCCGAAATAGCTCATAATTATGTAGTCCTGTACCTGAACTACATTTTCTACTATTTTGATACACAAAAGAATAGTGGACTAACAGTATAGCTGGCATAATTTATCTTGACCTTTGTCAGACTTTAAGCTTCAATGAGGGAGGGAGGGCAGGGTAGAAAACAAAGTACCGTATATTCCGGCATATAAGACGACTGGGCGTATAAGACGACCCCCATCTTTTCCAGTTAAAATATAGAGTTAAGACGAC